CCACAAATTACATTAGCTTTGCTTTTTATGATAATTTCAAGTTTAGACAATGCTTCTGCTGCTACTGTTATTTGCTGCTGGGAAACAAAGAAAAAAGCAGAAGCATATAGTTTCAAAGTCAATAATACGATGACAACTTAGTTAATTTAAGCATTGATTCTGTCTGACAGATCCTGTAGTTTACTTTTCTTTAGGTTATTCATGTAATCTCTTTGTTCTCTCCCGAGGCCTGTTCTCAAAGGTAAAACTAATGACCTAATGACTATCTATGTTAAGCTCAGTCTGTTTTATCATAAATTGTTTGAGTTTTGATCCATCACAGGAACAACACAGGCTATATTCATAACCTCTTACATAGGCTATTATGAAGAAGTAAGGAGGCTGATTTATTTTCTTGTCACAGTAAAGAGCCGTTCATCTTAGGTCTGGGTTTACTGGGCGAGCTGTTTCAACCATCTGCAGCGGTCACAAGATTTGGATCCTGTTCAAACGAGGTGATTTAAGAATAAATTATTTTGCTCTAGGAGAGGTTTGAACCTTTTTTTCTCCCCTTTAAAAGGAGTCAGATGCAGATGTTCAATGATCAATGTTAGAGTGCTTCCTTTTAGAAGTCTCTGGATGTCCCACAGAGATGAAACCCCATTGAAGTCCAAGGACTTGTTGCAGGGATGATATATAACTTCTAGTGCACTTTGAGATTCTCTGGCTGGTGAGGGAAGGGATTCCTAATGTTTCTACTTGGACTCCTTGACACCAACACCCACCTTCACACCCACACATCCTCAGACATGCACAATCACATGAACACACCATAACTGTCAATGAAACACATCACCCATTCCATCTTATAGACTCGATCACGGGTCTCCATTTCTTCACTGGATTACTGATAGGCCGTTGGTAGTACACAGTGCAGTAAAGTCACCGGCCGCCATATTGGTACTCCCTAGTTAGACCAGTTGGAATGTAAACAATACATGCGCTACAGTATCGAACAACAAGGATTGTTAATAAATAAAGATAAAATCATTACTTTAAAACACACTCGCTGTTTCGTAGCATCAGTTGATGACTGTAATTTATAGTAAAAATTGGCACATCACATTGCATAGTCATTATGAGGTCAATGAAGTCTATAAATCATGTAATATAATATATTATACAAATCCATCCCAACAAAATTAGTGTGTTAATGTAGCAGAATAATACTGTAATCAGATATTAAGAATATTAAACATGCACACACCCACACCATCTGATGATGTGCCAAATGCGCTAAATTGAAGATGTACATGTAATATACACTTATTGATTACATTTTTATGGTAATCACTTTACATTGCAGGCATTATTGTGGCACAACTTTGTGAGAGTGGGGAGTACCAATATGGCGGCAGGTTACTTTGGTTTTTTTAGTCTATCACAAATCCAGTGAAAAAAGAGAGATCAGTGGACTGGACTGGCTGCGTATCATATATACACAGCACCCCAGTTGTTAACCACTCCTATGTACCTAACAGATATGTGAATGTTTGTCCACAAATTGTTGTCAAAACTGTTTTGAAATTTCTTTTAACAATGTTTTATATTTTTGTACAAGTGTTTTAAGTGTTTTTTTTTGTTTTTTTTTGTCTGCTATGACGCGTGCCTTATAAGAGAATAAAATTATTGATTATTTATACATTCAATAACCGAGATTGCCTGTATGGCATTAATGAAAGAATGACTGAACAGCAAACCTAGGCAGAATTAGAGCTCCAAAAAGATTTTAGTTGATACTTCAAGAACAGGATGACATCTTTAAATAAAGTGTCAAAAACAAGAACAAAGAGCAGGCGACAAGAAATGCAACAGGCTAGATTTATTCTCAGTTGTTAAAATTTAGCCACAAAAGCCACTTTTATAACCATGACAAAAGCGCTGCAATCTGACTTCAGAGAACAATAATTACATATCATAAAACCATTTCTCTCAGGCGCACATTTTCATGACTCTCCAGGAATAGGAATTGCAAGCATTGTATCGATTTAGCATTCAATAGCGTTTTTCAGGTATTTCAAGTATTTTATTTTTATTCTAGCTACACAGCATGACTTTGTGGGAGTTTTTACATTTTTTTCTGGGGGTGAGGTTAGGCTTTTACATCAGATTTCGTCACATTTTAAATTCATATAATTTTTTTGTGAATTATTGTGACTAACCACTCTGCTCTAACCGGCTGACTGAAATAAAAGAAACAGGAAAAAAATGTTTGCTTGTATTTTGCTGCTGCTTGAAGTTACACAATTCAAATATAGGCTGCAAATGCAAAGGCAAACTGTTATGCTACATATGAAATTATGACGGGCCAGTGATTATGGAGTATTTGACTGAATAATGAGAGATCAGGGATTCGCAGTGCAAGTTTATGATGGTCTGATGAGACTCATACGGCGTGTCCGTGGTGTGTCTGCCTTTACTCACCAGCACATTGTCAACAGTTTCAATGATGAAAATTCCATAATAACAGAGCTGTTTGCATGCCTAGGTGAACGTTTACCTCTTTCTCATTTCCTCTCTACACTAAATCAAGCTATATTATTGCAGCTGTGCATGTTTTTAAGAATTCATGATTTCAATCTATGCGGCAAATTCACTGACTCACACAAGCCTTTTAACAGTGCTGTTTGTTACAGTGAGTTGCTTAAGTATTCATACTTTGTTACGTTATAAGCAGCTGAGATATTAACCCTTTAAAGCCCGATCCAAGAATAAAACAAAACGGTTTGAAGTCCTTATTTGGCCTTTTAACAAAATATGTAAAAAGAAAAAAACAGAAATACATTTTTGATATTAATAAGTTATTACTATGCGATAAGTCAATATTATTTTTTGTGTAGTCTTCTGCCCTCTGTTATCAGGTATATCTGATTGTGTACAATAGGATTTTGAGAAAAGTTTTTACCATTAAATTATGCAAAAGGTGTCAGATGCACAACATTTCAGAAACCGTATGTATCAAATATGATACATTTGGCATTACAGGGTTAAGTGATAGAGCTATATGCAATGGTGCACAGCGGAAGTGAAAATAAAATATATTTTACAAAAAAAAACTGGAAGCTGTTCTAAAAAAAGCTTAGTTAGTACTATCACCTCTAAATGTAACAGTCTTTGGGGCATTTCTCATCCAGTTTTGGATGAGAAAGAGATTTGCAAAGAGACTTAGAGAAGTCTCTTTGCAAAGTAGCTCCACCCTATTGCATTTGGATGTAGAACATTTGTGAAAATGTGTTTTCTAGACATTTAATGGAGTATTCTAAAGCTGCTCTAGCATTGTTTATATCCTGCATGTTTGACCTTTGAAAAAAAGGTTCATTGGGTTTAAACCTGAGTAAATGAAGTTAATTTTATGGCACATCAAGCCCTGTTATGTCTTTTATGCATTTGTATTTTTTTCTGAGCTCATAGAGACACACTGTTGAATTTTCTGAGATGGTCCATTGGTGCACCAAAAATTATTTTAAAAAGCCACCAAATTAAAAATAGATACACTACAAAATACATTTATGAACTTCCGGGGGGGAAAAAAAAGTAAACGAAAGTTTGGTTATTTTTGGTGGTGTTCGTAGATTAGGAAAAGGCTAAAGTATTAGTACAGCAATGTAAGTCAGCTGATGTTAAGAAATACATATTTATTAAAAAATGTGTTTAATCTTAGATATATATATATATATATATATATATATATATATATATATATATATATATATATATATATATATATATATATATATATATATATATATATATATATATATATATATATATGTTAGCAATGCCTTCTTTACATATCTCTCAAAAATCTGTCTTTTTTTTACTCTCTATGCATGTACATCTGGCTGTTTTTACTTGTTCAACAAGTTGACTGGATAAATGCTTACAGATGCTTTCTGTGAAGCTCCAAAGCAAGAAGATATAAATTTCAAAGTTCTCCAGTAACTGCTTTGTCAGGTCTTTAAGATTATGCCCAGATTTAAGTTATTGTGGAGGATATTTTAAAAGATCTGCCCTATCCACTTTAAATAAAACTGCACATGCAAGAGCATGCATGAGCCCATTTCTCCTTGTGCATGTCCTGTTTTTAAATGAGCTTTTCTCATAGCTCATACAACCTTACTGCGTCCACACAGAGCAAGGACTATATAATGGACTTTATACCAAACTCAGTTAACTGACCGTTTGGACTTTTTTTGCCTCGTTGGTCACGTAACTCCTCCTTCTCCACATGGTGTCTGCTCCATCTTTATTAGTCATCGCTATCGGTTAACAACAACCTATGGTGACAGCTGGCCGCTGTGACAGCAAACCCCATAATGCTTTGCTAAGACAGCTCTCTGTGCAAAGCATTCCGGGATATATCTGCCCCTTCTGAGGCCTTTCTTATCTTCTCATATACTTCATAGACACTTTTTCTCTTATGACCCTTGGACATTTTCAAAGAACCACGGTGAGAAAGGTGAGCTTCAATGACCAGCTGAAACCGTAGCTCACCACAGATACACGGCTGGAAAAAAAACGACAGCTAACAGGGCGAGCACGTAGGACTGCCTTACGTTAACATATCACCACAATGATTGACAATTAGGAGGACTACTTATTCAGATGATCCACCCGGAAACAAAAGATCGTCCTATTTACCTTTAAAGGGTAACGAGGTGTATTTAAAGAAAAAATAATTTTCAAATAGAACTTGTAACCGTACATTTGATTAGCGGAACAAGGACCAAAGAAAAACTCCCAGAAGTAACTTTATTTTATTTTTTTTATTCTGGTTCACAAATAAATTTGGTTACAGTGTGCATATAACATACCTTCATCCCAGTTTATTTTATTATGTATTTGATTAACTGCACAATTAAACTCAAACACCTACAACATAAAAAAAACTCTACAAATTCTAAGCTTTGCCTGCAAAAACTAAAAGATTTTAATACAATCTAATTGTACATGTTCTGCAGTCGAGGAGGTTATGGTGCGATTGGTGAACGGATCAGGTCCCCATGAAGGCCGTGTGGAGGTGTTGCATGAAAGTCGCTGGGGGACGGTGTGTGACGACGTCTGGGACAAAAAGGATGGAGATGTCGTCTGTAGGATGCTGGGATACAGGGGAGCAGCAGCCGTCCATAAGACCGGGCGTTTTGGGCAGGGTAAGTAAACGATGCATCTGGTTCATCTATGAAAAGATGTTGCTCATCCCCCATAGGACACAAAACAGAACTTGGAATACTATGTATCTGTGTTCCTTTAAGAGAAAAAATCATTACTTCAGGAGGTATTACTTCAGGAATTTATTCTAATTCTCATCTATTTAAAAGGAGGTGTAGATTATAATGATGAAGCTTTTTTTAAACGTTAAAACCACAACCTACTAAATATTTCATTGAATTTTGAGTTGTAGGTTAGTAAAGTGATACAAAATGGTGAATTTAAAAAAGTTTTGTTTTTGTTGGTAACCAAAGTAAAGAAAACTAACAGATTCTCCAATGTGGGATAGTAAAAATATTTCTTGCCTTGTCTAGTCTTGAATTGTCTTCAATTATCTTAACTCCAATCCCCACGAGTAGCAAGTCCTTAGGACTACATCTATGTCAGCTTTGCATAGCTAGACCCTGAATTGCTTTTGCCATTCCCTTTCTTTTCTCCATATTTATCAAACTTTAGTCAGGATGGAGGTTGACTCAAGTCTCAAGCCTTTTGCTATCTCTATTGATTCTTCTTCTCTGACTAGCAACTCTGTCCTACCCCAAAAATGCATGATGCTGCCACTAACAGCTTCATACTCCCACCACAGCGGGGATGGTGTACAGTAATCACAGTTATGCGCAATGGTACTTTTCTGCCACACATATTTTGGCTTCTATATGCTGCTGCTATACAAACAGACAACTGGTTATGCTCGACTTTATTCAGGGGATGCCAGAGTAAAGTGATCTGACCAAAAAAGGCACACCACAATTTTTTTTATAAATCTTTATATAGTCTAACAAAAAGTGTTCAGTCAGATCATATGTAGAAATTTCTTAGAGATTTAGCTTGTACTTTTTATAATATTTTATAATGTCGAGCTGTATCTCTTAATCGTCACCCTTCAATGCACGCTTTGATATTGAAGCATTAATGGAAATACACTCTGAGCCAGATGTCGATGCCAAAGACTCTCAGGGGTGACATCTATTTTTCTTTCTTCGTCGTTGTGTCATTCACCATTTAGCCTTACATCATCCAGAGTATCAGTCCAGTAAAAACTCTGACCCAAAACAGCTAGAGGAGAGAACATTTCCTTCTTCCAGGGGACTCCCCTCTAAATTAAACAGCTGGATTCAATCTAAAACATGCAGAAAATCACCTCTCTCTGAGGCTTTTGTGAGTTGTCAGTTCAGTCACTGTTAGGCTAACGTTCTGACATTCAGGTAGTCAATAAAAATGGATATTTGCACAAGGTTCTAACAAAAACTGGAGTGGGTTCCAAGAAGATTACAGATAACAACTTGTTTTGGGCCAGGGATCATCAAACCAGCTGGCTAAAAGCTCTGAGTAGCTGACAGCTTGTTGGCTAATTGACTATTTGCATTAATATACGATTTCACAGGTGTAATTAGTAAAATAGCAGGGCAGTGTGTATCTAAGGGCTTTGAAGGTTTAATGATTTGTACCATTACTCAGAAACATAAGTGTGTTGGTAGAGTAGCCATTATTATTTTGGACAATTATAAGGTATGATTTTTTTTTTTTTACGGCAAAAATGTTATTTCAGAGTCATTACAACACTCTTCCAAATTTGCCTGTGACTGAATCCCTCCTGGATATTCCCCTAAAATCCCTCACCGTGGAAGAAGTGGTATAAACTTGGTGTGAACAAAAGTCACATCATCCTGCTAACTGCACTGTAAATGTTTTAAGATCCAGAGAGGCACTTTAAAGGTGTATTTCTTCTGAGGTGAATCCACTGAGTTTGCAGCAGCAGAACAGCTGGGCTGTCATCTGCAACCTGCAGCAGCACCATGTGCACTCTCCAAAGAGCTTACCTCATTTTCCATCCTGTGCAAGCACAAGAAGTGACGCTGTCCAACTGTCAAATCTGTGTCGAGTTTGTCTTTCCTTTCACACACCGGCCATAAAGCCTTAACTAAGAAACAAAATGTGAGTTCAATCAAAGACTATGAGTTCTGGCTTCTCCCGCCATCTTCAAATGCTGCAAAGCTGAAGTGTTTACGTTGTTTGAAACCTCCGGTTGACCGCACTGTTGCAAACTGGAACCATAGTTTATGGAGAAAACAATGTGGCCAAAATATCTGCTCACCAGCTGGAACTGTGTGTTTTATAACCGGATAGAAAATAATCTGATCAACAATACTCAGAGGAAGCATAAGGGTACTTGCTGTCTTAGTCACAAATTCAAACATAAACTCCAGCTTTGATTACTTTTGGATTGCGATTCATAATTTTTCCATTGAATCATTCAATTCTAACACATCCCATCTTCTCATTTCACTATTAATATTTTGAAACATTAAAACAGCTTAATGGCATTATTAGGCCATTGAATGAGAATCTTTCTTTAAACTGTTCAGTTTTTCTTTACAATATTACATTTCTGCTTGAATATTTAGAATGAAAAGATAATTTCCTAGTATGACCTATTATTTTTGCCCTTTCTTCCAGGGACTGGTGTGATCTGGATGGATGACGTTGCTTGCACGGGGACTGAAGACACCATCCACCAGTGTAGGTTTCCTGGATGGGCCAATACGAACTGCGGCCATGTTGAGGACGCCGGCGTCACCTGTACAGTCTGATTATTCAGGATCACTCCTGCCTGCAAACTTTTCTCCATTCTAGGCCTTTTCTTGGACCATTTTTGTCAAACCTTTTTAAAGGAGTGCCTTTTTATCAGTATTTTTGCCAACTTGGCACCAAAAGGTGTCATCTAAACAGATAAAAACTGATTTCTATTTGTGGTTTTGTGAGCATAAGAGAACTATTAACACTGAAGGACAGTGTTATTTTTCATGACCTGCACTATAAAGGCAAAGATTGCTTGTCTGGATAGTGCCTTCTTCTCACCCAATAAGGATGGATTGAACTAAGTTTCAAATCAGGACATTTCAAATAATAATCTTATTCACCTCCAAAGGGAATGAAATGGCTCTTTAAGACAGAATTAAGAATGTCAATGATTTTTATTTACCTTTACAAGCAGCTTCTCATTGTAGCAAGAAATGCAAAGGGCTTCTGCAGAGTGCTTGGTTGTACTTACTTTCTTTGCCTTGCTTGATATTTTTTTGAGTGATGGTTTGCAGGTCAAAAGATGGCTGAAAGCGTGCAGAGAAAAAACACATTCTAACACCTCTTTCTGTTCAGCTTTTATTGATATCATGTGGAACAATATTTTTCAAAAAGACTGACTTTGTTTGTTTTCTTTTGAAGTGGTCTTTATCTTCATTGTTTTTTAGATTTCTAATTTTTTTCTTTAATAATTAGGTGTTGTTGTTTTTTTTTACTAATATTTGATGTAGTTCCTAATAATGGCAGCATGAGGGAGCAAAGGGACATAGCCTTGTGGCGTAAATAAGAATGTCTTTTTAGCTTTAAAACCAAATCGGTGCTGTGTATTTGGCATATTTTAGAAAAAAATATCAAAATGTTCTGCAGCACTAAAATATATCAATTCACACAAATGTTATTAAGAATAGAAGCACAACTAAAACTAAATAAAAGCAGAATAAAACATACTTTGGTAAAATAAACCAACTCACATTCTATAAAAAGTCACTTAAAATAAGCATGGATTTAAGTTGGACTTGAAATTTTAAGAGAAAGGAAGGTTTGATGCCATTTCGATTTTTAAGGCCAAAACTCAAATGGATCTTGTTCCTTTGGGAGGTTAGGGCATAGAGCTTGGAATCCTGGGGTCCTGAGTTCGAGCCCCACTCCCACAGACTGCCACTCTGGGTCTCTGAGCAAGACCCTTAACCCCACACTGCTCCCCTGGTGCCCCACGATGGCAGCCCACTGCTCCCCAAGAGGATGGGCTAAATGCAGATGTAAATTTTTCCAATATGAGATCAATAAATTTTAATTATTGACGTAAAATATAACAACAGGCTCCCAAAGAAAAACTTAGAAAGGCCTTCACAAAGTCTGCAATATTGGCAACTATGACCACTTGAAAAGACTACAGGTAAATCAGTCTCTTTGAAAAGAAATATAAGAAATATGGGTACATTTATATTGTTGCTTCATGCCACAATCTGCAGCAGTGTTTTTGTTTTTATTTGTTTCCTTCTGTTAAAATGTTATCTGTTCATTAGGGCCTATTTAGTGGAACCTCATTTAATAACATCATATACTGTGTACACAGAATATATTTTTGCTAATTTGGAGTGCCTTTTTAAATTTTTCCAAGGCGGATTGTATTTACTATTTAGGTGACTTCTGAAGGAAGTGGTGGTGCTCTACTTTATTTAGGGGTGTCACAATAGCAAGGGCTGCATTAAAATCTACACCGCTGTTTACACATGTGATCAATAAAAAGGTTTTGGGTAAACTATGTTTTCTTTTTATTCTATTGTAAACTAGTCATTCACCTTAACTCCAGTAAAATGTGCAGAAGTTTGATTGTAAGGTAATGTGAAGAAAGTTTATTTAAATGCTTTTTCAATAATACATATATATATCTCTACTGTTTTTGTAAATAGGTAATCATTTTATTTCTATTGTATGAAAATCATAACTAAATGCTTAATTTGAGGTGCATTTACATAAAAGAAGACTCTTAAGGGTTAACAGTAATTTAGTAAACAGATGATGATTATGAAGTCCAAATGAGTATAAACAGATGGATGACTTGCCTTGTCGGATTTATAATGGTGGGTTTGTCAGTCTGCCAAACATTGGATTGCTTAAGCATCAGTTCTCCAAACAAATCTCATTAATCTGCTTCACCATTTTATGTCCCTCAGATTTTCTTTATAGCTGAACCTAAATCTAAAAACACCACAGCACCTCCAAAGTTCTCCCTTTGCTGGGGACCTAAAGCTCTGTAGATCTAAAAGAATCTTATGCCGGAATCAGGACCTGATTCTAGATCACCCTGACATTTGGGCAAATTGAAGCACAGAAATTCTGCCTTAAAGACTTTTATCTGAAATGTTCCTTCAATTGTTCCTGTGCAAGAAATTAACATTTTAAAGCAGAGTTTGACTTTTTATTGTGGATGCAGTGAGAAAGGAAATGTCAAAATCTGTTTTGAAAAAGATCCAGATACGGGAGAGAAATGGCAGATTAAAAAAAAAAAAAAAAAACAGAATCCATGCACCGATTATGCATAGGCTGAAGTGTTTCAAATGTATCTCTGGCAAGAAGGTAGTCTTAGGCAATAGGCTGCCTTTGTAATTTTTTTTTCTTTAAGTATTACAGGTGCTGGTCATAAAATTAGAATATCATGAAAAAGTAGATTGATTTCAGTAATTCCATTTAAAAAGTGAAACTTGTATATTATATTCATACATTACATACAAACTCATATATTTCAGATGTTTATTTTGTTTAATTTTGATGATTACAAATGACAACAAATGAAAATCTCAAATTCATCATATCAGAAAATTAGAATATTGTGAAAAGGTTCAAAATTGATGGCCCCTGGTGCCACACTCTAATCAGCTAATTAACTCAAACCACCTGCAAAAGCCTTTAAATGGTCTTTCAGTCTAGTTCTATAGGCTACACAATCATGGGGAAGACTGCTGACTTGACAGTTGTCCAAAAGACGACCATCGACACCTTGCACAAGGAGGGCAAGACACAAAAGGTCATCGCTAAAGAGGCTGGCTGTTCACAGAGCTCAGTGTCCACACTGAAAAAAAATAGAGGTTGACAGAACTTAAATTTTCTAGGCAACGTGATGCATTTGGTTTTTTTGAGTTTTCATTACTTAAATTCACTGTGGTTGAGATTACAAAGATTTTTGAGTTCTGCCAACTTAGGTTTTTGAGTTTCACCTTTAAGTTCTGAGTTCTATCAACTTTGTTTTATGAGTTTGACATATAGATTTTGAGTTCTACAAACTCAGATTTTGTAGTGTTATCTGCAAGTTGAGTTCTATCAACTCAGTTTTTTTAGTCCTACCAATCGTCTTCACTACCAATCATTCAACACACAAAAGATGATGTTAATACAACATTTTTATTGCTTCAAGTCAAACATTGTATCAATAGATACAGTATAAAACCATGTTCAACAACATAATCTTAACTGCACAGATCAAAGTAACCTGACGCTGGACCAGAATGTTCTAGATTCGTAAGAGGGAGTGATGATGAGGGAAAAAAACAGTAAGACACCGATTTAGTAAGAGGAAATTTTTTAATTTTTTAATTTTTTGTGAAGTAAGTGTATTAACATGTATGAAAAAATAACAGTTTTACAAATTTGGACGGCCTTGAGTTTGTTTTTTCAATTGTAGTCTCTTTAAATTGGGTGCACCCTTTAAAAAAATAAAATGAAATAAAATGTCTTGTTTCCCAACGGAAATAGAAAAAGGTTTTCCCTTTTTATCTCTGAGTTTTTCTTTTTTGTCCTACCACTCCGACAGGACGATGAATGCAAGAAAAGAAAGTCCTCTTCAGTCCAAATCCTTCTCTTCACTCCAAATCCAGATGTTCACACGGTTGGCTCGCCATCTCCATTTAAGGAGAGAATCCAGAATCCAGGGTATCCAAAAAACCCAGCCTGCATAGCACAACAGGGCTTAGTTAAATCCATTCACTTCTTGTTCTTAACTGTACAGTTTATATCTCTTCAAGTATGATAAATTTCAGTGTGTAATGTAACTTTTCTAACTCATTACGAATTAACTGCTGCATTACAGGGTTAACATATAAAATATTATTGTCACTGTTTTTCTTGTAAAGCAAATAAAATCATGAAAGCAAAAAATCCACATGTAAATAATTATAAAACCACTTACAGTTAAACAGTAAATACCCACATCGGATTAAGAAAGTAAAATAATGTAGTCTTGTAATATTCTGTGCCTGAGTGCAACAACACTGCACTACATAAAACAATTTAGAAATTTCATAAGTTATTACACTCAACTTAATGTCTCTTTTCATTTGTACAATGAAAATAACAGGCACACTCTTTTCTCTATAAACACTCACCTGCACATGCGCGGCATAACACGCACGCGCACATGCGCGTTATAAACACGCACGCGCATGGCTTTTGCTTTCATCAGAACGTGAAAAACATGTGAACTCATGCTTCAACTCGGTGGCAATACACCACAAGGGAATGCTAACTCACGGAGCTAACCGCTAACTGTCTGTACTTTGCAGCACTCACCGGGAAAAGAAAAGATTCAGAAAACTGGTAAGGTCCCAGGGTCGTTCCTCCATGGTTCTCCAGATGCATAAAAGCACAATGTCCGCCAATCTTCTCAAACACGAGGGAAAAAGGCTGTGCCCCTGAAGAAAGGGATAGGAAACCCCGTAACCGTAGTGGGCGTGTCCATGAACATAAGCAGTGCACATGCCCATGAGTTTACAGTTGAGGGAACTCAAAAAATCTTGTATAGGCGATTTAAAACTCCTTATTAAACCAACTTCTGAGAATTTGAGTTGGGCAAACGTGTATTTATTTGTTAGATGTCAAATTTATATTTCTGAGTCGGATTACAATACAATTGTGTGTTAGAACAACAATTGCCATTTACTTTTTTAACAGTGCAAGCACATTAATAGAGAGGCGAAGGGAAGGAAAAGATGTGGTCGAAAAAAGTGTACAAGCAAGAGAGATAACCGCACCCTGGAGAGGATTGTGAAACAAAACCCATTCAAAAATGTGGGGGAGATTCACAAAGAGTGTACTGCAGCTGGAGTGAGTGCTTCAAGAACCACCACACACAGACGTATGAAAGACATGGGTTTCTGCTGTCGCATTCCTTGTGTCAAGCCACTCTTGAACCACAGACAGCGTCAGAAGCGTCTTGCCTGGGCTAAAGAGAAACAGGACTGGACTGCTGGTGAGTGGTCCAAAGTCATGTTCTCTGATGAAAGTAAATTTTGCATTTCCTTTGGAAATCAAGGTCCCAGAGTCTGGAGGAAAAGAAGAGAGGCACTTCATCCACGTTGCTTGAAGTCCAGTGTAAAGTTTCCACAGTCAGTGATGGTTTGGGGTGCCATGTCATCTGCTGGTGTTGGTCCATTGTGTTTTCTGAGGTCCAGGGTCAACGCAGCCACATACCAGGAAGTTTTAGAGCACTTCATGCTTCCTGCAGCTGACCAACTTTTTGGAGATGCAGATTTCATTTTCCAACAGGACTTGGCACCTGCACACAGTGCCAAAGCTACCAGTACCTGGTTGAAGGACCATGGTATCCCTGTTCTTAATTGGCCAGCAAACTCTCCTGACCTTAACCCCATAGAAAATCTATGGGGTATTGTGAAGAAGAAGGTGCAATACACCAGACCCAACAATTCAGAAGAGCTAAAAGCCACTATTAGAGCAACCTGGGCTATCATAACACCTGAGCAGTGCCACAGACTGATCGACTCCATGCCACGCCGCATTGCTGCAGTAATACAGGCCAAAGGAGGCCCAACTAAATACTGAGTGCTGTACATGCTCATACTTTTCAGTTGGCCAACATTTCTATAAATCCTTTGTTTTTATTGGTCTTCAGTAATATTCTAATTTTCTGATATGATGAATTTGAGATTTTCATTTGTTGTCATTTGTAATCATCAAAATTAAACAAAATAAACATCTGAAATATATGAGTTTGTATGTAATGTATGAATATAATATACAAGTTTCACTTTTTAAATGGAATTACTGAAATCAATCTACTTTTTCATGATATTCTAATTTTATGACCAGCACCTGTACATGCCTAGAGTTATTGTGTCCTAAAAACCATCACAAATATCTCTGATTAGACTGTCACATCTGATACTTGA